ATCTTACATAGGTGGGATACCGAACTCGAAACAACTTGTCAAAGAACTTGTAAGCTCAGAAAAGTGACCACCACGCTCGAAAATCTTTGGCGACTGTTGCGTTGTAATGTGAAGTTGTTTCCAAGCCGTAATGTACTATCACCATTAAGTATTTGTGTTCCTGCTCACACGAAGCGATATACCGTCGATAGCATACTGATAACTATTACCGTACCAGATATGGATGATCACACTTTTCTCGGAATTAATGTGTGAACTCAAAATATGTGACTAATTGATTAATTTGTGTAGGTCAGCTTCGCAACTAAGATGAACAACCTTACTACTTATATTTATCTAACTTTACAGTATCTGCAAACAAGTGTCGATGACTCAAGCATTCGCGGTAATTCATTGACGAAGAGTAAAACTGGGGAACTTAAAATATAGCCTTGGAGTGCACTGCTTTTCTACTCAGATAGTGTCGTGTTTACACTCACTCCGTCTTCGGCTACAGGGGAAGTTTCTTACCGACTTATTTTTTCAAGCAACTTAACTACTATCCTGGTTAGATTGAAAGGTTGGTAGTTAAACATGATCTTTATCTTTCCATATTTAAATATGGGGTTAAGATAGCATTTTCCAATCCCTGAAGATTTGATTGTGGGAAAAGGATATTTTGAAGAGCATCGCGAGTGGCCATCAAATGATGTCCACAATCAGGGAGTCAGTGTCTTACTAGGTCTGAGGTTAATGTTCATTTGAATAACAGCGTCCTTATTCACACATACAGGTCCTATAGCTGGAATCTCAGTAATGTGATCATAGGTTGGTAACAATACCCGTAGAGTAGACTTCGAGGAAATAGTTTGATAAAGTCCCAGGTTTGACCATATCTGATTTAGCGAGTAAATCTAAATTTTCGTGCAATAGTGATGGGGTTTAACCGACAAAAACAATCTTCTAGGCAGGTACGGCTATCATGTGCTAACTGTCTTTCAAAATCAGTACGGCATCTGGCAATTTTCTCCTTACGTATATCTCGGATCTTTTGGTATTCGCACTCAAAGGATTTGTGGCCTGTTGATTTGAATAAGTCACAGAATTGTTTCCTAGGCCGGAGCTTTCGGGTTTGCTTGTCAATCCATAGAAGGCAATGTGATGGCTCACGTGTTGACCTTTGGATGTATGATGGTGTTACAGACTAGAATGTGGCTTTCAATTTATTCCATTAACATTCGACCGATCCATCTGAATCGGCCGACCAGTCTGTTGACACAGCACAATTTACGACCACGGGACATGGAAACGGAGTGGAACAGACATATGCTGTAAACCGTGTCCAAAACCTAAGAAGTACGGTGTGATTACTACTTGCCAGTAGGAGGAGGTGCTGAACGTCAACGACAATGTAACAGTAGTGTGTAAATACAACATCCAGCAATGACTGTTCATGTTCCAAATCAATGTGTCAGTTTCGCGATACATTGCATAAGTACATACAGAATAGTGGTTGATAGCAGGTTGCTGTCAAATAATTCACAAGAAGTTATAAACCGTATTTAGTTGATATGCGATGCAATGAAATGAGACAACACTTTGTATAACTCCAAAAACGGATAAGGCGGCATCGGGCACCACTTAGGTACCTGTCATTTCGAGATAATTTGTAAATGAATTTCAAATCTTTATGAGCAATATCTGTAGGACGTTATATTTACCGCTTGAAGGTATTCGTGATCGCAGTTCGATTCAGAAGATTTAAAATCTGCGGACATTAAGTTTACTTGAGGAGAATGAGGATAGTATGACCGCCTATCCTGTATGATCTTTGGTCAAATTCTCATGAAACGACAAATGTGTGGACTGAGTTTTCCCAACGTGGTAGCCACATTATCCTGCTTTCATAGCACAATTCGATAATAAATAGAACCACGTCACATAAATAACTGCATTTTATCACGATAGAATGGGAAGGGGGGGATGAACAGTAACGACTTGCCACTGTGTGTGCCAGTCTCACGAAGTGTGTTGATCAATCCAAACTAGCCGTCTTCGACCTTCACAATATCCAGCAAAACGTTCGTTATTCTCTCGTGTGGAAAAGTCTAGCTTAGTAGATCATACTGGAGATAAGTGATATGTTGCTGACCCTAAAAGTCTAAAAGCCCTTTAATTAAGTTACGTGGAGTCATAGAATTGAGCAAGCAAGCCCACATACAGATAGGGAATTTTCCCCTTGCATGCATGCGCTACATGCAAATACACAACACATAACGACGGCCACATATTCCAAAGGATACATAGAGGTATGGTTATGACCACTCTAGGGTGCAGGTCAGCAGCTTTTTACACTGAATGAATATCAAGCACTTAAATCAGTACGCAAATAAGTCGTCACAGACGATGTGCTCACTTCACATTCACACCACAAATAGTTTGAGTGCCGACCACTGTGCGCTGGTTACATTGCGGTTTGTGGTTAACGATCTGGCTTGCCCCTATCAGACTTAAAGACATCAAAATGAAGTTTTCCACAGCACCACAACCGCGCTATCGATTCGAGGTTAACTTTTCTCATCCCGCTAATCAGAATTAGGATAGTGTGGGCAATCAACCCGACTCCACAGCTTTGTGAAGATTTGGCGGTCAGTTCAGACTCTGTTGTGCCGCCTGCGTCAGTTGATGAGAAGGTGATCACCTACTATCCAGGGAACACTACGCGAAAGTACAAGTCGGACTTTCTCCCTATGAATTTACTTACATTTAATAAAGCAGGTACTCTACAATCGTCCCTTAGACGACATTTTTCATCCCAGGAGGAGAAGGTATCTGGTAATCTCAAAGACTACTTCCCATAACTGAAAATGTCATGCAATCCGTAACTATACAACTGATTCCAGAGCTCTTCAAACCTCATTCGAAAGCTAAAATGTAATCACTGAAAAATTGTCTATCTTTTGTTTTACTACACAAATCTAACAACCGCACCAATCAAGAAACAACATGTCATCTAAAGAAAAAATGTAAATCAGTTTAATTTGCCTCAAAGTTTAGCAATCAACTATAAAATAAGAATTATGAAAGAAATACAAAAAGTATGCAATGAACTACCGGTTAACAACAGCAAATATTCTTTAAAAAACAGGAAAAGCATCCCAGTACAAGTGATAGGAAGAGAAATCAGTCCATACAGTAAAATTGCGAAGTACACAAGTCCAAAAAGAGATGCGTTAAAAGTCAATTAAAGCATTGATGAAACAGTTGTTCAAAGAATCAACTCCATATATAGGCGCCAGAATTAGTGCAGACAAATGATATATGAACCTAATATAGATAAATATGGAGATAAATGAAGTATTTCATGCAGAGGGAAAAGAAGGAATGTCGTCATGTAGAACGCAGGCATGTGGGATTTACATACAAGCATGTGTGAGGTTGCTGCCCCCTATATATCTGTGAGTTCGCATGCGTTTATGATTCCTGAATCTGAATTATGAGACCGGATAGTCACGGTTTGGCAGCTGAAGTACATAATCAAGACAATATCCGTAACTACGTGATACAGTGCGAGGTCTGATAACGAAGATAATTTCTCCAACTATAATGTCTAAGATTTGGATACATACTGAAGTATATCCCACCAAAATTATAAGAAACCTGACCAATGTACCATTTAAATGTAGTGAAGGGCAAGTCTGTTCCGTACATACCATGCTTACCGAAGTCATCTAGTACTAGGCTTCAGTTATTACTACTTCAGAACTGTTCTAATACAGGATCAACAACTGAGTAGATCTAACTGTCTATACTCATAACATTATTTTGATAACTTCAATACACGTAACCCCATAAATTATTCCCCGTCTGCAAAATCCCCAAGACCTGACTTCCGAAATCGCAATCAGTTTACGGTAGCATCTTCTGTATACTTTTTCGTCCTCTCCCAATGACATACTACGTTTTATGTTGTTTTTCCTCCCCCCTCCCCAATCATTAATTAACAGATTTCCTTAGACCGAACGGAGAAACAACTGAAGTGGTTAACCAAATAATCTAAAATCAGACATAGTCGATCTTTATCCGTAAGTATTTACTATTCTTGTGTATCCACTCCTTATGTTTAATAAACGATGGAATCCTTGATTTCGTGATGAGTTTACTACAGCAACACAAATAGTAGTAAGGGGCAGCAACTCAGGATTTCTTTGAAACCAAACAATGGTAATGATCGAAAAAAGTATTCCAACCAAACAATGGGGACGGAATACCTACTTTTAAGAGTATTGAGATATCCAGTGATTAATATATATCAACTTATCAGTCAGTTGTACAACGTAGGACCAGGCACATATATGCATCAGTCCAAGTTGCCATACCTCATTAACACAACAAGATGGACACCGGATTCATAAAAGTAGTTAATTCAGAGGTGGTAATATATAAAAGAGAGATTGCAATAAGGATATAGTACAGGAAGAAAGAATTAGTTCGTAGAAAGAAAGATATGAAGCAATTTTAATCTCACCGCTTAAGGGAAGACAGAGAGTGTATACACCGACGCCATTGTGGTCGATTCTGAGCCATTTAACACACAGTCTCCAACCATTGGTTACGATAGTCACGCGGACCCCAACCAAGTAGTCTGCATCTACCAACATGGCTCAGACTAGAATTTAGTGACTTCAAGCACTGATGCCACGTTTTGGTTTGGCCGCCCCTAACTTTCTCCCAACCATCCCGAGTACCGGTTAGCATTGCACGTCGTGGTAATCGGTGTTCGGGGATATGTAACACGTGGCCCAACCATCTCAGTCGATGAAGATTTACAACCTCATCGACTGATTTACCATCATTCCCTAATACCCTGCGCCAAGCGAGCTTTTCGAATCCGTGCTGAGATCTCGTCAGACACTAATCCATTAGGGCTGATCAGACTTTTCAACGCGTTCGACTACTTCACTCCCTATCCTTAGTTCAGGTGTTGACGCAGGTCAGTCCTGAAGCAACAACATGCATTTAAAGACATTGTTTATTTGAATTTAAGTGAAAATAAAATGTAGACACTCCCATTGGCAAAAAATATAATTCGGAGCAATAGTATGGATTTGTAACTCCATGAAATGCAAAATTGGTGTAGAAACAAGAAATTCCACAACCACGAAAGTTTGAATTCATCTGATATTCAACGTGTAATACCAAGAAATGTTAAAAATGAAAAAAAGTGCACATCATCTAAAAACAATTGTAAAATAATCTACATTAATAAGAGAACATATGAGTTGGAATTCTCAAAAACATGAAAGTGGAATAACTGAAAGTCCGCATACTATGCCAGCGACAAGAAAGGCACCAGACCAGTTGATATGTTCAGCCAACACAACAAATGGGTAACCAGCCAATATAGCCCCAACTGAAATGTACGGATAATAAAATTGATTTAAGAACTAAGGTATTTAATACGTTGATGTTATCCACTGTCAAATGTAAACTTGTAGGGCAACGTTAACTGTTGCGTGATAAATATATACATACTTACCTACACCTATCCAACCTAGTCAATCCATGTCGTCCCATGATATCTTCATATCCGGTGTTGTCTATTCCGACTTTGGCGTTTAGATCTCCCATCAGAATGGTGTGGTCATTTCTTGAGCACTTCTCTATGATTGATTGCAGCCTCTCATAGAATTAATCTTTAATGTCGTCGTTGCTATCATCGGTGGATGCATAACATTGAATAATATTCATTGTGATCACCTCCTTCTTTGTTTTGAATGATGCTTTGATGATTCTGGATCCGTGAGATTCCCATCGTACAAGTGCATTCCGTGCTACTTTGGACAGCATTAGAGCAACTCCCTGAGTGTGTGGAGCATTTTCTTCTTTGTGACCGGAGTATAGCAGCATCTCTCCCGTATTTAGCCTTTGTTGTCCAGCTTGGGTCCAATGGGTTTCGCTGATTCCCAGTACTGCCAAGTTGTATCTCCTCATTTCCGTCGCTATTTGACTGGTCTTTCCGGTCTCCCACATTGTCCGGACGTTCCATACGAAAAGGACAAACAGCAACTGGGAAGAATTGTCCAGAACAGAGTTCGATGGAAAATGCTGGTGGGTGGCCTTTGCTTCTACACAAGGAGTAACAGTCGCAAGTAGGTAAGGAATTCGCTCATGTGATTGAACTGCAAATTAAAATAAAAACCCTAGTGATTTGAGGTGATTTTGAGTACTGTTAAAGGTGTGTGGATGGTTGTCAGTTCCTGGTTGCCTACAGAGTAAATATATAATTAATAAAGTGAAATAATTATTTCCAAGTCGATCATATTTGAAACAGAACAAAACTATTTCAGGTGATTTTGAATTAACAAAGATTTTGTTAGAGAAACCAACATAGTTTCTTTTGATTTCCGTAATTTCCAGAGGCCAATAAATAACCAAAAAAAGAATGGGCATTAGATTAATCGTAAGAGCGTTTAACATCCAGCTGAAGGGCTGCTGAGTGAATTCGCAATTAATCTAATTCCGTCTAAGTGGTTAGATTCGAAACTAAAGATTCATTTTTTTCTTGACCTGCATGCTTGATTCACATCTAAAAAAGTTATTTAAAAATAATCACTCACAATTCGCAATCAAAGCACTCAACGCATGTGCAGTACCGCTAAAAGCAGGTGGAGCAAGTTCAACAGCTAAAACACCACATAAAGCAATTGTCCCGATAACAGTAATACCAAGTACCAAGCTGATAATGAGGAGTATAGTCTAAAAAGAAAAGGTTAAAGAGAAAATCCAATCAGATTATCCAATGGTTTTCATAAATGAATAAACTTTAATAAACATGTTCATAAATGCCGTAAACTGTTCTATTCGAGCAATCTTCCACTGACCTTGGGCTCACCAATGGGTAACCTTAACAGAAATTCCCGTAGTTGTAATTAACGTAATTGAATCATATCGTCAGTGAGATGTGTATCACTGATGACAATGGATGATGGCCGCGCAATATCATGAATTGATTGAAATTAGAAATATGAATAATTAGACGTCAACTCAGTGATCTAAAAGTCAGGCTTCCAGAGTGAGACATACAGCTCAATTCTTGAAGGGGAACGGGTGTGCGTTGCTGGTGAGTCCCATGGTAGGACGATCAGTGATTATCGGATAAATTTAGACAGTGATTTACACTAAGAATTGTTCTTGAGGTTTGTACTCCTATTATTACTGTATAAAAGTTAAAAATTTTATATTAGTAATTCTAGTCATGCAGTTTGGAAGAGATATTAGATAAGTTTTGAAATATTCCCCTTTACGTTTTTAAACATGATCCTACTTTAGACAGGATTATAAAATGAGATCAAATGTAACATGAGACGCACAGCTCATGATCGCTAACCATTTCACTAATCACTACAATTTCATGAACCGTAACTAGTAGAGCATATATATGATCTTAAACTATAAAATATTATCAAAGATAAAAGATTTCTAAGAGCAAAACATATCTAAAATTTGACTTATTTTACTCTTGTTTAGAATATAGAGGAAGAATCTCATCATGATTAATAAAAATCGAATAATCGAATAACGAAAACAGATAAGTGTAATTGACAAATTTTTGTATCAAGTCCTACAATTATGAAGATAAAAATAGAGATTAATTGTGAAATGTTACTGAAAATAACACACTAATTTATATTATTTAGCAAGTAGACACTAATTAATTTTTAGAGATTCAAATTTTAAATAGATGTGTGAAGATAACAATGCTATTTTCCAACAATACTGAAATTATTTTAAGAATTAATTGTATAATACAATCTTGTAGACCATTCATCATCATCATTAGTCAATGAAAATGAGACCAGACTATCAAGTTGTCATACTTATAGACTCAATATCGAGTTATCATCCATGGCTAACTAACAAGAAGTGAATTGATGACTTTGTGCTTAAATAAAATGACTTTCAGTAATTGAACTGTAGGTTCAAGCATTGCTTTCCTCACCTTATTGCTTAAACAACTGGTTGGTATTATACGGATTCATATAAAATATGTCTATTAGAAAGGAGTACAACGTATAACTCAGTAATTTAGTTATAATTATCAGTATAGGCAGTTTGAAACACTGATTTTGAAAATTAAATAGATAAATTAAATAACTGGTTAATTAACATTGACTACTGACAGTTTGATGCACTCAAATTAAGTTATTAGTCGGATATTTAAAAATGACATATATTACACTGTACACTTTGATGTGTTTGATGCAAGTAAAAATCTTCATCTCTTACGTCTTATTTTTCTTCGAATCTAGCCACATTAGTTTTGTTCTGTTGTAATAAGTAGTAAATAGCTGTTTACTCGGGAGTTACAACAGCTAGTCATATTGTAGTGAACGAGAACACCAGTGGGGACAACCAAATATATTTGAACACAAAATTACAGAATCTCTCAATAAAATCATAGAACCATACAGCGAATACTTCATTTGCAAAATTTTAATCAATTAACTTAGACTTGGTTGTTCCTTCGTTTACACGCCAATCATTCTCTGTTCCCATTCTCTTCTTCTCGATCTTTTTAACCCTCTGCCACCAGGCATTTCACTTTCAGTCGGTGACACATACAACTTATATCTGTCGACATCAGTAGTGCACAACACAATACCAGTAGCCGTGTCCACATTGTGTCAATATCGCGGATTGAGTGAAGTTAGACATTAACACCGTCAGATCCTGGCTCAATGGTCTAGAAGTTAAGTGTTCGCGCGCAAGATCAAAGGTCTCGGGTTCGATCCCCACGTGAGGAGTCGTGGATGCGGATTGCTGAGGATTCCCATGCTAGAGCGGAACGACAGTCCATTGATTTCTGGTTTTTAATGGTGGTTTAACATCGATCGGCTCATGATTTCAGTGAAACTCAACAATCTACACAACCCCATACCGATAATTTTGACAAGTCCTAACAGTACTTAAGGTCAAATACATGAATGAAACTGTACCTGGTGAATTATGCATGATACTTTTCTATACCGCAAACATGAATATCAGAAAAAGAAACAAAAAAAAATAAACTTGCACTTACTAAAGAAGCATTATGATTGGTAATCCAACTTAGACAACATAATGTACCACTAGCAATTAACATTTGTATAATTATTAATGGAATCCGACGACTAGGCCATGAAAATACTCTCTAAGGTCAAAATACAATACAATATGTGAATTAATAAGGTGATAAACATATTAAAGAACAAAAATCAACTAAGGAATTCAATGTTGAATTTAATATGATTGACACATTACATTTAATAAATTTTCAATAAAATTATACACAAATTTTATTATTTCAAATTTTGTCCAAAATAGTCATTCGGAAGTAACCTAGAAACCTCATCTTTTTGGAAAGTATAAACTTAAATTTATTATTATTGTTACCTAGTAACTTGTATCAACCTGATTGTGCCTGTAAATTGACTACCTTTCTTTACTAGTTTTTGGAACATGTCATTATCATTATATAATTAAACACAATAAAATAAGCAACCATTATCAACATATCAATTCACAAGACATTTAGAGAGAACAGGAGTTTATTAATTGCTTAGCGAAAAGATAATACAAATAGATTTTCAATACGAAGTGATTTTGCAACTGATGTTATATTGTAGAAGTAAGAGAACGATGATAGTGACTGACAAGTTATCGAGTGGTATTAAACGACTGATTGAATACGCATTCAGGATATTGTCATCTGACTTACATAATATGTATCGGTCTTATTTGATTAAAATCAGAGAGGAGTTTTGTGGATATCATAGTAAGTTTAATAGTTGGATTCATGGGTCAATTTAAGCTAGACCACCATGGAAAACCTGGAAGCACTAAAAGACCGTTTCGTTCTAGTGTGGGACTCCTCAGCAGTGATGAACTTTATGTAGTAATGTGAAATACATGATATCATCATTTTCTGCGAAATGTGATGCTGGAAGAAGTGTGATTATGCTAGATAAAATAATAATGAGTTAAGCCATTGGTTATTGATTCATTTGACAAAGCTTAGAATGCCTAACCAGGATTGATGAGATCAAAGAATTATACGCTTAAAACGGCTCATAATTAGTTAGTGGGGCAAAAGAGAAGTCTTAAATATCTTCTAAACTTTTCAGCCTATTTAATCTAATAGAGACAGAAAAACTGTTTAAGCCGATTTGAAAATACATGGTACATATACTATCGAGAAAATGGTGAATTTTCAAATAATTTTATTTGTATTCATGTGATAGTGTAGGATGAACAAATGCACATGACATAACAAAGCTATAGTGAGCACTAATATAAGTGCTACAAGGAAAAAAAATGTCCATAACTAACATCCAATCCACATTTAAACATTGATTACAACGTAAACCACTTATTATGACAGAAAGTATAGACTGTATTAGTTAGGAACTAACGAATATTGTCTTGAAATGTCTCAATCTTTTGTACTGATGGTAAATGCATATGTACAGAGTGCAGGAATAACTAACTGAACAAGGGAGTCGACTATATTTAAGGTTTCCCAAGACAATTCAACAGGTATAACCTTAGCAGTTGCCAACTATTTTACTTGTAAAGGAGAACAGTTATGAGAAACAACAAGTGTCCCGTTTTATAAAATCTTATTTATGTTGAGATGTATTACAGTATTTAAGGTCACAATCACAGACTAGTGATCAAGCCAAAAAATGTGAATAGTAGTAATAATATGAAGACAGAAAGTACTGATTTCGGATAACTGTTTACTTTTTTTGAAGTTATATTCACACATCTCAATTTAACATAGCTGTGTTGAGATAAAGGGTCTAGGAATTCTGGGGTCTTGAATTTCCCTTTTAATACATGCAACAGATATTGATTTTCATTTGACGATAACACTATGAAAGTAATACTTATTCACAATTGATTGATCACTGGGTGGTGATCAATGTCATGTGTGTCAAGTCCTTCTTACTGCAGATCGAATGCTATTGACGAAGTTGCAATGTCGCCAGTAGTCTAGGTGACTCGAAATTGCTTAAGTCAAACGAAATGTATTTAAGAAAGATGGAAGTAGTTCTTTAGTAAATAGATCCAATGACTAGGAAATATTTTACATAAACCATTTTAGTGTATGTTGTCACTGAAACAATATGAGAGCTGAAAAACAATCAATTTATGACGTAGTCACTTCATAAAAGATACCTGTGTATCAGATGAGCACACGTTGCTGCATATAAAAGTCCTCGATGAGGTTGTAAATATCATGTTACTGAGTTGGTTTATCAGAAACAATCAGAAATTAAAGCTAGTATGTGACTTAGTCGTGATATTATTTGAGGTCAGATAGGAACAGGAGTAATAAGAATAGGGAAATTTTTTGAAGAGATCTTATGTAACAGCTTCTACTGGTCCTAATTGTTTTATAATTCTTCATGTTAATATCGTACATAGTTTTTTACTATAGTGAGGAATAACTGAAACAAAACAACTTAATTTCATTTAGTAAAAAATAAAGATTCAACGAAGAAAGTTTTCTCTTCGATAAAATCATTTATTAAAGTTATACACTCGTATTTATATATTTATCAAATAACTATTACTACGAATGTACAACTTAAGTAAAGATTTCATGGGAAGGAACGTGAAGTTTTGAATCTTAGTTCAACTCCGAAAAAATGAAACCTATTTTTTACAATGAGATAAATAACTTGAGAATCATTATCAGTTATAAATTCACTTGGTATTGTTTACTTGAATCTTCCCATTGGTGTTTAAGACTTCAATTGACCAGTCTCTTATTGGCATATGTGCTTACTGTGCACATAGCCCCGTTATTGCCTTAATTCACAAGCATTATAAGCAAGGATGGATAGTGGCCAGCAGTGGAATCCATGACGCGCGTTTCATCCTATGTGGGACTTGTCAGCTGGATTTACCTGTACCTCAGAGTTTATGTTCACTCTGGGACTCGCAATACGCACAGCACGGACATATGCCAATAAGAGACTCATCAATTGCAGTCCTAAATATCAATGGGAAGATTCACGTAAACAATACCAAGTAAATTTAAACTTCACCCCATTGCACAAGCAAGTGGCTATCAGCACTCAGTAGCTAACTGGACAACGCAATGGCGTTTGAAGCGAACGGTACCGGGTTCGAGTTCCAGAGTGAACATCAACTCTGAAATGCAGGTACATCCAGCTGACAAGTCCCAAATAAGAAGAAACGGGCGTCATGGACCCTATTGCTAGTCACTATCCATCTTGGCTCATTATCAGTTATGATAAATTACTTGTGTCGACGTAATAGTTATGAATGGAAAAGCTTAAAATGAATTTGCGTATTGTGCAAATAGCGTAACTATTAGTAGTTCACTGAACTATGAATATAGGTGAAAGCATTTATTTTTCCTAACCTGTTTTTTTCTGGTATTTCATTTCGTTGAAAATAAATAATTGTAGAACGAATTTTAACCATTTCTAGCATTGATTTTAACTCAATTTATTATCAGCTGAGAGTTCATGATGTTAATTTTTTGCATTAACATATATAACTGCATAAATATTGAAAAAAATGACCAAAACTAATGACGGATAGCCTATCCTAAGACGTTATATTTTGTATTAATTTGATTGAAGTTACTTCAATGTTGAGAAATACAACGATTGAAAATACTTTGAAAGTGTATAGGTTGTGAGGATATAAGTATAGGTGTCGTTCAAGTATTGGTTGAATGTGGTGGAACCACTAAGTGAGTGTTCTTGAGATTAAATTCAGGGTAATATAAGCACATATTGTAAACTGATAAGTCCCATTGTGAAACTTTAATGAATGAAGTGATTAGGATGTATATCGTATACGTAGTCCTTATGGTCTACTTCAGCACTATGTTATCTAGAGAACGGATAGATTAAAAAAGGCTATAGTGGACCATTCCAAAATATGACATCAACTGAGGAAGTCATTGACTATTGGTATGAGTTGTGTAGAAAAGTGCTGGCTTTCCAGTTGACGTCTAGTGAGACAACTATAACTAGTAGTTGGAAACTTTAAGCGACATCACTTCACAGTAAGATAAATACTTTAGTTTCCTCTAAATTCTGAATTTTGATATTATTTTGGATTTCTTAGTTTCTTTTGAAACGTATTTCACTGTACAATTCTAGGAAAGAAACTAAAAAGACAATTTAAATATTTAGACACCCCTTACGAACTAATGTATTACCCTCTGTCTTCCTACCAATTTTATTGATATTGTATGCTTGATTACCAGTTTATATTGAATCGATTTGATGTCAAAATCGAGAATATTCGTCGTTTAATAAAAACGAATTGAGGTTAATCCGTATCAGAAGGGGTTTTGTGGAGATTGCAGTAATTTCAATAGTTGTGATCATGAGTCAATTGAAACTAGACCACCATGGAAAACCTGGAAGCACTGGACAGTCCTTTCGTCCTACTGTGAGACTCCTCAGCAGTGGGCATCCACGACCCCGCCTCACTGGATTCGAACCCAGAACCTATCGGTCCCGCGTGCAAGCGCTTAACCACTAGATGTATATCTCGGAGTTCTAGTGAGAAGCGGTGACCAGTGCAGTTCAACCGGGTCAGTTGAGACATAGTAACTCATTGATGACAATAGCGCATGTGTCGCTCAATTTTCTGGGGTAGTTGAAGTTGGGCATTAACACCGTTGGATGCCGGCTCAGTGGCCTAGTGGTTAAGCACTCGAGCGCGAGAATGATAGGTTCTGGGTTCAAATGCCGCGACGCGGGGTCGTGGATAGGCACTACTGTTGAGTCCCACACTAGGACGAAACGGCCGTCCAGTGCTTCCAGGTTTTCCAAGGTGGTCTAGCTTCACCTGACTCATGATCTCAACTATTAACGTTAATCCATTTGAAAAAAATGAGATTAGTCTATATGAATATCCATATAATAAATATGTGCTTTTTTAAGTCAATCAAATTTATTTATTCTTATTTATTTGAACACATAAATAGTGGTACAAAGCGGAGTCAAATACACATGCGCCATACATTAACAATGCGGCAAAGAAAAGATGCAGAATGTAAAGTGTGTATAATAAAGCAAAAAAACAACGAATAGAAATTAATAGATACGAGTGAAATAATAGTAATGGAAGATACAGTTCAGTTAGCAAAAGTACAACCAGGAAGAATTCTTTCAGTTAAAGAAGATACATTAATTTTTAATGAACAAATTGAAAGTAACAGCAGGACCGATACATGCTTCTATTCTGAATTATACATGATAACGTCTCAAGCCACTGTGTCGCACCATCTCTAGGACGACAAGCAAGGAGTCGTGAAGGACAGAAGCAAATCCTGTACAGCTACCATCCATACCACGACACCACGTCATAAACGGACCACCTACCCGCATTTTGCAACCAGTCCCAGCGTCAGCAAATAATGCATGACGTGGAATTCTCTGGGGCGACATTCATAAAATACATATCCAAACCACTGGAGTCGATGTTTCAAGATAGTGATACTAATTGAATTATCGCCGCTGTGCCCGAACACACGATGTCGAACCTCTGCATTAATAACATAACGTTGCCACTGGATGTCAGCAATCCTTCGGAGACAACGATGACCAGACACACAGTCGTCAACATCAACTCGGAGAGGCCAGGTTTCACATGCATAGAGCAAAACTGCTCTTACCGACGCGTTGTAGATCCGACCTTTTGCAGCCGGATTAACATCACGAAGGCGCCAAAGATGGCCCAGATTGGCATAAACTTCTTTGGCTTTCATTATACGTGAATTTATCTCATCATTCAAACTATCAACAGCACTTACACAGCTAATTAGATACACGAACTTCTCAACTACTTGTATCCGCTCACTACCCAGGGTGAGTGCAGGATTATGGTCCTGTCAGTTTTGTGAAAGTACTTTGCATTTCGAAGGTGCAAAGCACATACCTTACCTACGGATACTGATTGCCAACTGATTTAGTGCGGATTGCATGACTTGAGTATCATCACACAGTAAAATAGTATCATCTGCATACTCAATGTTGAAACGTCTTTCTTCAGGCAACAGATCTGCACCATCATTACCTACATCCGTCAGAGCTATTCCCAGAACGTCATCAAAGGCAAAGTTGAAGAGCAATGGTGAGATTGAGCAACCCCATTGCTTGAATGGAACAGTGGAGAGAGATGGTTGTATGCCCTCATTCTGCCTGGGGTATTTGTATATAGGGCTTTTGAGATATTATTAAACTTCTCATGCACATCCTACTTCAATAGACAATACCAGTAAACCAGCCTGCACATCTCGAAACAATCTTTCTTGGATTTTGAACAATCTACGAAGTATGATGGAATCCAATAGTTTGGACGCAATCGAAAGTGGACGTATCCCCCCGACAGTTGTTACAGAAACGACATGAACCCTTTCTAAGGATAATAACAACTATCGACTCATTCCATGATGTTGGAACACTCCCTAATTGCCAGACCATTCTAAAGAACTTAGTTAGTTCCCTAACCGGAAAGTCACCACCATCTTTACAAAGGACCGAAGCTAAGTCGTCTGAGCCTGGTGAATTGTAGCGCTTCAAGAGTCGGAGTTCCTTGTGGACTTCTGCCTCGTTAGGTGGATCAGTCGTCACAGGCCATGGAGAGCAGGACAGTGATCGATGTTGCCGGGGCAGCAGACCAGTTGAACTGGTACTCGTCCAAGACATCGGTTGGTGTTAATGATTGGCATCCCGTCATCTTCATAGATTGTTTCGCTCACATCAGACTTCTCGCTGCCAGTGACTCGGATGAGTTGAAAGAGCTCCCAGCAGTTACCGGATGCAACTGCTGTTTCTAACTCAGTGGCACGCTGCGACTACCAGGCTTCTCGGTCCCTACGCAAGCTTTGCACAATCTCATTACGTAACACTCCTCGTTTATGATCAAACTCACAGCCATCCGGAGTAGACTGACGTACTTCAGTGATTTGTAAGGACGCTGTAGAAACCCTGTGCCTATAAGTGGGACGTTTCGCGGAGCCGCATGCAACTTTACTCGCCATTTTCATGGCGTCATGCAAGTGCATTCAACGCTCATCTATACTTTTTGGTGGATGGTAGCTAGCCTTGAACCCAGTTGGCTTCGACATTTATTTGCAATAGAAGCTGCAACCAATTGGCTGATATCGATCCGTTTGGGACGATAAATTTGTTGGCCGCTAAAACGTAAGATAAAATTGACGTAAACAAGGGCATGATCAGAGTTCAGATAGATACTCCACAAGGAGTGGCAGTCTTGTACACAGCCACACCAGTGGTAGGTGATCGCGATGCGATCAATCTGAGTTCAGGTTTGAGATGCACAAGGAGGACGTCAGGTGACGCATGGGCGATGACTGTAGTGGTAGGTAGTGCGAGCCGGAAACAGGTTGTAGTCTGCACAAAGTTGTGGTAGGTGGTCACCGTTATCTAACAATGAAATGAGTCTATCAATTAATGGAAAACCCGAAAAAATTGAAAAGACAATTTTTATATAACCCAAACAAACATTTAAGACTAGAAAACATCCGACTGTGAACCGTCTTACTATCAAATATATCCTAACTTAGTTGTCTTAATAAACAATAATCATAAAAAGCATGGGCCAGAATAATGAAATATCCATCCATACACCAAGCAAAAAATCTGATTGTAACTTACAGAAAACACATTCAAATCAGCTACTATTCCAACGAACATAGACCCAAATATTCCACCGAATTCGTAACTACTGGCAACTAAATAAGCTGAAATGAATAGGTGAAATTAAGTGTTTTTTTGGAAAAGAAAGACAATGGTAGAAATTTCTGAACTAATACACGATTTTTTCAAATGAAAATTATATTGATTACTTACATTAAATAAACAAACTAAACATCATCCGAAATATATTCACTTTATAATTTAGTAACATCTATGGAACAGTATTTGGTGAATTGTAGACTTATGTGATTTGTTTGAGAACTTTATAAACGTTTGCTTTTAATTAACATCACCAACTGGATATACATTAAAATTAAGTATAGGTTCATGATACTAGACAGTGAATCATCACTCTTGTATGGAAACGAGAGGATTTAGAGGATCAACTAGATGGATTGAGAATGTGACATAATAAATGTAAATTCAACGTCTATACCACGAAACTATAACTCAAGTATATATCATCTAGATATATTCCAAAACATAACCGAACACAGTGAATACAGTCCATGGGTTTCTTACGCTAAATTTCGTTAGGAGATTCTGATAAAGTCTAATGAGGGAAGAAAATGCATTGATTGCTAATTATAAATCACAATCCAAATAACTATTGATTGTAAAAAAAAATTGCTGAATTAGTCTCGAACTATGATGTACTACACATATATGACAGTTTGCCATTATCTATTTTTGTATTAATATAGTTTTATTATTTTTTCTTTTACGCCAGTAATTTCTCGTTATTTCACTTTATAGGTATAGCTAAAAATTAATTACATTTCCAGTTCTAAAACTGAACTAAAATATTACCAAAGTTTGCAGTTGGACATTGAACAAATCTACGCTCGCTGTTAGATCTAAACCACAGTAACCAGTCAATATCATAGACACAACATTACTACTGAGCCATGAACAAAAAGACTGGCTCCTCTTGGAAGTTTGAGATGTTCACACTAATTTATGAGAAGAGATCAAGAGTAAGACTGTTGATTGAATTTAGATAAATTCGGTTACTATTTTAATAAGACATTCGATTGTATTCTGATAAAATTTGTTATGTAGTTCACTCGGTTTTAGATTATAACTGTGTAAATGTAATCAATAATTATCGGGAAGAGAAACAGCAAGTAAGGAGTGATATTTATTCTTTAATATATATTCTTCACAGGTTAGGTATTGCTTTCTTAATAGTTGAGGACAGAGTCACGAGTATTGGGGGAACAGTGTTGAAGAGTAGTTGCAGGTACTCATTAATTGCGGTCACTCTTCTGTAACAAGGATCAAGCTACAACAGTGATATTTAGTCCAATTTATAACACGTTCATTTCTGATCAATCAGCGAAATTTAAATTTAAATCGCTAAGATTATTTCAAATATAATTTTCACATATAATGACTTCTCTGTACTCGGCGCCCAATTTCTGTCAAACTATTCGTCCTAATTTTGACGAATATTTGCATAAAATTAAAAAGTTTATTTTACCAACGTAACATAATTGATGAATGGGACGACAAAAAATAACAAATATGCACAAACCGGTACTTTGTGAGTAACCATGTTTATTATTCAAAAGCATAATTGCAATCCAATCGCCTATTGCATAACGTAAAAATGTACTGCACATGTGAACACTAGCGGAGGTACCCAACAATAAACGTTGTCTTGGACTTAAAATACGAAACAATTTTGATATTTGATTAGTAATATTCACTTTAACGGGTTGAATTGTCACGCCATTATCGTGATTTTCAGTAAAATCTTTATCTTGACAGTTGTTCGATAATCGGCTAGTTTCTAAAATGTAAAAAACCGGATACTGATAATTTAAAACACGTGAGATAATCAACTTAGTGTGATTATCAAAGAACTTTCAAAATATGATTTACCGGCTCAGTATTTAATTATGAAATTTTTTAGATGGCACAATAAGTATAAACTGGTCTACTTAGTTTTAAGTTATACTTACTTATGTGAGGATTTGTGATATGATCTGCTTGCTAGACCAAACTACATAAGGCAAAATTTAAATATGGGAAGGTCACATTTGGCAGTGAAGTGTATTTTAACCACCGCTTAATCAACCGATTCCCGAAAGCGTGAAGTTACGGTTCTATTGTAAACCTATTTATAATTGCTCGTTTCTAGAGAAAAAAAAACAAACGTGAGTGTTGATACTCCTTGGTTAGCTAACTCGAGTCAGATGGAAATGGATTTGAACCCGTGACTAAGTGGGTGGACCACCAAGCCACTGCTCCAATTAAGGAAATTGATTTTCAATCACTAAATTTTAGGTTCAAATACCTATCTATTCGATTGGCTGTCGGGCCAAAATGTGTGGATTAAAAGTGACTACAAGAAATTGTACTGGGTTACTGAGTTGGAAAATAAAGAAATCAAGAAATCTTGTATTAAATTAATGCAAGTGGATTTTAAGAGGTAATCAGAGAAATAAGCTTATTGCATATATATGCTTTGATTTTTTAAGCGTTTCTTAGTAAGTCATTACCAAAATGGAGCCTGGCAAAGATGCACTTTGGCCCAAGTTTCTACACCCCATTTAGACGACGAGATGGAAATAACAAGAGGAGCATCAATGGATTGAATTATAAAGTAGCAATGATAACAAGAAAGACTGAATATTAGAATATAGTTCAAAAGGACAGAGCGGTTAGACACGTACAGGGGTATACTGGAGTTCAAAATCGAGAGGAAGGTGAGGAATAAATGAATCTGCACCATTTTGGAAAATTCTGAACTGTCACCACAAGTCTCCCACCACTGATAGCGCTTAACGCGTGGATACCAATTAAGCAGTCTGCGTCTATTGTAGTGAGTGCTACTAATGTCGACAGATATAAGTAGTATGTATCACCAGTTGAAGTGGGAATGCCTGGTGGCAGAAGATTAAGAAGATCGAGAAGAAGAGAATAAGAACAGAGAATGATTGGTGTGGAAACGAAGGAACAATCAAGTTTGAGGTAATTGACTAAAACTCTGCAAATGAAGTATTTACTGTATGGTTCTCAGATTTTATTGAGAGATTCTGTAGTTGCGTACCCAAATGCATTTGGTTGTCCTCGCCTTCGTTTTCTTTCACTACACTATCAACAGTCAATGACTTTGTCGACTAATGCTATGTCTTGGTTTGAGTATTCCTACCTTTCTTCCAGTCCTCTTCTACACCACCGAAAATCGCCCGTCAAAGTAGGCGGTGGTTAGACCAACAAGTCATGTATTATGATGAACGTATCTATTCCCACTAAATTATCACATATCAAATTATATCCTGAATGGATAAGAATAAGACTAAATACAATTAATTTTGACCTCATCACAATAATTCATATCTTATGAGGTCAAATTTAACCCGATAAGTCTCATGATTCCCATGCTATTCGGATATCAAATCCAATATAATTATTTATTGGAAGCGTAAAGTTTCTTAGCTCTGTTAACACAATGTTTCAATAACTTTTTGGAGTAATTATAAAACATTAGATAACACTAGGCTAGCGTAAATATAAAAAGTATTTGATGGGGCCTTTTATTTTGTCATTTAGATCGGACGATGTTTGTTGACGGGCTCTCCACTTTAGTGGCCCGAGTCCTGACTCCAAGTAGATCGCATGAATGATTGTTATTGAATTGTATATGCCGCCTATCCTCGCATGTCTTTATCGATTTAAACAACGTTCAGTGAATAACGAAATCAAATAAGTCAAATGACGCGAATCGATTTTTGAATACATATATTTTGTATACAAAGCGAATGAAATAGAGCAAAGCAAAACGACGCGCAGTGGAGATGGAGGGTAAGCCAACCCCCATTTGACCGAGCGTTAATCAATATTTATAGTTACACAAAAATAAGTTACAGACATGTGATGAATAGGATAAGGAATGTACACACACCCACGCGCTCATATAAAAACACTCAAGATTGATAAGCGAATAATTAATAAGGTCAAGATGTGACTCAAGTAGAATGAATAGAATGGGCTGTCCGAAAGCTGGAATAAGGTATATGAGCTTAACATAATAACCGACACTACACGTGTTCAGAACTAGTTAGTGATAGTAATAAATGTATTCATTTGATGTATATAATAGTTTGATTTGCTTTAGAGAGGTTGAAATGTTACACTAGAACTTTAAGGTAAACGGAATAAATGCTTATTAATCATCGAGTCATAGATTTATACTAAAAATCAAGCACTTCAATACCACTGACAAAGTAGCATGGTTCAGTATCCTAAAACTCTCTTGATTCACAACAAAGTTGCACTTTATCAATAAGTTAATGTTTCTCATACACAAAATAACAAGTGCACATTTTGTAATTTTTACAAAAGATTTTCTAATCCGTACTCACAAAAATTAAGATCGCTGTTTGTCAATTAGTGGATTCCAAATGAAAGACTATTCATAACTTACACGAAATTTCTATGATCAAGTTTTTTTTTAATTATTACAGAAAATTTAAGAGGAATTTTATTGGACTGATTAAAGTAATAACATGATCTCACTTTCATTACAACACTTTTCTTGATTACTTGTATCATAACTGTTTTGACCCAATTTTGAAGTGGACATTAAACTTTGACAAGTATCATCACAGCCTTTGTGTTTTACATCTGAGTTGAGATGCTTCCCAAATAATTGATTAGATAATGTTACTCTAGAAGGACTAAAATATTTAGTTGGTATATTCTTAGAGTCGATTTTATTTAGCGTATCAACGGTTCGCGAACGCAGATAAACATTGAGAAGTAAAGCTGATATTATGCAACATGCTCCTGTAAAATTAAACAAATTCATAAATTTCAAATAGATGTTAACATATAACAAAGATATCAAGCATTATTATTAAATAGGGAAAGTTATATTTTGTTAGTAGACTTTGAAAGCTACTACTTATAGTGAATCCAAGAATGTTATTGATTTGATGGTAAATTTCAAAAAAACTGATATCAGTTTACAATTAGTTAAATAAAATAAACAATTGACTTTGATTATATTTCAGGCTGAATATTTTCGATGAAATTAAAACTCGAAGAAATTCAAGTGTTTCGGAGAATACATCGCTGACTACCAGATGTTTTGAAGAAATTCAATAATTAGCATATGTCAGAGTAACCAGATCAGGAGGTAATTGTTATTCATGAAATTTCTGGTTGGTGATCTAAACATTGCGAAGAACTGGATCATTCTCAAAATTTTTCAATTCGATTAAGCTTTTCTGGTTTCGATTAGTGAAAAGTGTTGCAACTTCAATTGATATACTACTATTCGAGAAAATATTTTTTACGTCTGGTGATCGTATATGTTATCATAATCACAATGACTTCATTGATCATGTACTTCCTATAATACTGATCGAGCAGGTTATGATTAATGACAATAGAATTAATAATGATAATTTGTATACATTTAATTTTCTTTTAAAAACTGTCTTACTAGGTTAGCTGGTGAGAAAATCATCGAACCACTCAGCCCACAACCAGTGGAACCAAGGTTTAAACTTTATTCCGCTTATTTCGACCCCCTTCACCAGAAAAATATGGGGTTTACAGTAATGTAGGAAACAATTAAGAATTTACTGCATTAGGATTCCTATATTACGTGGGATGTGTAAAATACGATTTACATCAATAGAAAAAAATCACTTCAAATTTGAATTTCATGTTTACAAACGTGCAATTATAAATATGTTGAGGTTAACACATTTGTTGATTTAAATAAAAGATATCAGACAAAATTTAAAAAAAGGTTTGACAATTAGCTGCAACAACTATGTAGCTAATATATCGGAGTTTGTCTACATTTAATAGCAATACCAGCTAGGAAAAAATATTGAAGATTTAAATTATAATAGAAAACAATGACGAATCTAGATTTCATGTAAAACTGGGTTATACAAATCGAAACCACTGAATGAATGTATTGTTTGGTTTATGATACTGATGTGAAAACCACTTAAAAATGTGATTTTAGAATTATTCAGCTATTGTACCATGCATCAGTAGATGAATTTGAAATAAAGTTGAATGATATCTATTCCTTGAAATATCTGGACTTATCTATTTATCAACGTTGTTTAGGATAAGTGATAACGTTACTAGGAGTTCGTTCCAGAAGATAATATGAAGTCAATGTAGTTAAGAAATAATACAAATTATGTATGACTGAAGCTTAAGTCAGATTAATTTTCATACAGGAAGAATGGTAATAAATTTTAGGGATAGTTGTTTTTTAATTAGGCACTAAATAGTGACAAGGTCAAAAATTTGCCTTTAAATAGGGGGTAACAGTTGATGATAAGCACAATATAAAATGAATGCACTGGTCAGTTAAAAGGTATGTACTTACCAACAAAAATGAACGGAGCTCTCCATGCTAAATCACCGAGAAATATTGTTGCATACGAAGAAATAACTATAGATATCCAAGAACCCATACAACCAGCTAGGTTAGAAGACGATGATATTAATCCCCACCAAGTGGCTAATTCATGAGAAGCCACAGACTAAAAGTAATTTAAGTAGACTTTGAGAAACAAAATCATATGTACTTTAAATTAGGATTAGGAATTTACGTAATTGATAATACTTCAAGTTAAATAACTGTAAGACAATAGGTTACTGTTAATCAAATATTTGTTTCTTTTAATAATTAAGAGATTATTTTCATCGGCGTCGTTTCTCTACGAAACCAAGTAGATTCACCGATAATTTAAAAACGAAGATAGGGACTAAAAAGAGATATTATAAAAGTAAGTTAAATACGTACAAATCTAACTGAAAGGCCATTAAAATGCAAAAAATATCTCGTAAATGATATTTGGTGGCTAAGGTTGAATGATGCTCTTTGCATTAGCGGTGATTCAAACATTCTGCTTTCAATCATTGAGTCTCAAGTTCGAATTCAAATCTGTCTAATACATTTTGGGAAATGAAGTAGTATCATTGACACTTACGTAAACCGTGGCTCAGAGTTAAGTACATACGACTCCACAATCTAAGTTACTAAAACTACAGTAATCCTCTTAACTCTGCCTGTAGCTCTTCTAGAGTTACTTCCGGTCTTAAGCCCGAGTAAAGAATGAGGGTTGAGCATGGAGTTAGGGACCCCATCCCATAGAAAACTAACTCGGTAAAAAAACCCTAACCAGAAAAAAATAATTCAAACGATTTAAAGTCTGCCCTGGGAGTTAGAAGGCTTTCATTTAGAAGAAATATGACGCCTCATGGTGAAAGCCGAGCTCCTTCGGAAGCCATGAGGCCGATGCCCCTTCTAACAACCAGAGCAACAATCTTTATAGGTACACAGAACGTCCGGACAATGTGGGAGACCGGAAAGACCAGTCAAATAGCGACGGAAATGAGGAGATACAACTTGGCAGTACTGGGAATCAGCGAAACCCATTGGACCCAAGCTGGACAACAAAGGCTAAATACGGGAGAGATGCTGCTATACTCCGGTCACAAAGAAGAAAATGCTCCACACACTCAGGGAGTTGCTCTAATGCTGTCCAAAGTAGCACGGAATGCACTTGTACGATGGGAATCTCACGGATCCAGAATCATCAAAGCATCATTCAAAACAAAGAAGGAGGTGATCACAATGAATATTATTCAATGTTATGCATCCACCGATGATAGCAACGACGACATTAAAGATTAATTCTATGAGAGGCTGCAATCAATCATAAAGAAGTGCCCAAGAAATGACCTCACCACTCTGATGGGAGATCTAAACGCCAAAGTCGGAATAGACAACACCGGATATGAAGATATCATGGGACAACATGAATTGACTGGGAGAGAGAAACGAAAATGGGGAAAGATTTGCAAATCTGTTTGCAATCAACAAATTGGTCATAGGCGGCACAATATTTCTACACAAATGTATACACAAAGCTACATGGATCCCATCGGACCACACCACAGAGAACCAGATAGATCATATTTGCATCAATAAAAAGTTCCGAAGGACAATGGAAGATGCGAGAACCAGGAGAGGAGCTGACATAGCTTCAGATCACCACCTATTTGTGGCCAATTTAAAACTGAAGTTAAAGAAGAACTGGACAATTGGACAAACAGCATTACGAAGGTTCAATACAGCCTTCCTTCGAGATACTGTCAAACTCAATGAATTCAAGATAGCTCTCAACAACAGGTCCCAAGCCTTACAGGATCTACTGAAAGAAGAAGAAACTACTATGGAGGACAACTCGGAAAGTATCAAAGAAGCATTAACTTCAACGTGTCAAGAGGTTCTGGGCCTCAAGAAATACCATCATAAGGAATGGATCTCCATAGAAACATTGGACAGGATCAAAGAAAGGAAGAAAAAGAAGACAGCAATAAACAACAGCCGAGCACGAGCAGAGAAGGTCCAAGCACAAGCTGAGTACATAGAAGAAAGCAAGCAAGTGAAGAAGAGCATTAGAGCCAACAAGCAGAAATACGTAGAAGAACTAGCAACGACGGCGGAAAAAGCTGTAAGAGAAGGAAATATGAAACAGCTTTACGATACAACGCAGAAACTGGCAGGGAAATATAGTAAACCACAGAGACCGGTCAAGGACAAAGAAGGCAGGCCAATCACTGAAATTCAACAGCGGAACAGATGGGTAGAGTATTTTGAAGAACTCATGAATAGGCCGGCTCCAATGAGTCCACCGGACATCGAAGCAGCATACACAGATCTTCCTATAGATGTCAACCCACCAACGACGGAAGAAATCAGAATGGCCATCGGACAAATCAAGAGCGGGAAGGCAGCAGGACCCGACAATATACCAGCTGAAGCACTGAAGTCAGACATCGAAGTAACTACAAACATGCTTCACCTTCTATTCAAAAAGATTTGGGAGGAGGAACAAGTGCCGATGAACCGGAAAGAAGGACACCTCATCAAGATTCCAAAGAAAGGAGATCTGAGCAAATGTGAAAACTACAGAGGCATTACACTACTGTCAATACCAGGGAAAGTCTTTAACAGAGTGTTGCTGAACCGGATGAAAGACGCAGTAGATTCCCAACTTCGAGATCATCAAGCTGGATTCTGTAGGGATCGGTCATGCACAGATCAAATTGTGACACTACGGATCATCGTCCAACAATCAATTGAGTGGAACTCGTCACTGTACATCAACCTCATTGATTATGAAAAGGCATTCGACAGTGTAGATAGGAGGACGTTATGGAAACTTATTCGACACTACGGAGTCCCTGAGAAGATTGTCAACATCATCCGGAACTCATACGACGGACTATAGTGCAAAGTAGTGCATGGAGGACAGCTGACAGATGCATTCCAAGTAAGGACCGGAGTCAGACAAGGCTGTTTACTCTCTCCCTTCCTCTTTCTTCTGGTGGTCGACTGGACTATGAAAACCTCGACATCTGAGGGAAAATACGGCATACAGTGGACATCTCAGAACCAGTTAGACGATTTGGACTTCGCAGATGAATTAGTCCTCATTTCGCATACACACGAACAGATGCAGATGAAGACAGCCAGTGTAGCAGGAGTCCCTGTATCACTAGGCCTCAACATACACAAAGGGAAAACCAAGGTCCTCAAATACAACACGGAGAACAGCAATTCAATCACTCTTGATGGCGGAACTCTGGAAGATGTAGAATCCTTCACATACCTGGGAAGCACCATCGATGAACAAGGAGGTTCAGATGCAGACGTAAAGGAGAGGATCGGCAAAGCAAGGGTTGCATGCCTTCAATTGAAGAACATATGGAACTCAAAACAACTGTCATCTAACATCAAAGTAAGAATCTTCAATACGAATGTCAAGACAGTTCTACTGTACGGAGCTGAAACTAGGAGAACTACAACAATCACCATCAAGAAGGTACAAATATTTATAAATGGTTGTCAACGCAGGATACTCTACATTCATTGACCGGATACCATCAGCAACAGCCTTTTGTAAGAGAGAACAAACCAGCTTCCAGCTGAAGAGGAAATTGGGAAAAGACGATAGAAATGGATAGGACATACATTACGCAAATCTTCAGACTGCATCACGAGGCAAGTCCTAACTTGGAATCCTGAATGGAAGCGCAAAAGAGGAAGGTCAAAGAACACATTACGTCGGGAATAGAAGCAGATATGAAAAGGATGAATAACAACTGAAAGGAGCTGGAAAGGATTGCTTGGGACAGAGTTGGATGGAGAATGCTGGTGAGCGGCCTATGCTCCTTCACGAGGAGTAACAGGCGTATGTAAGTAAGTAAGTAACAGTAATCCTGTTGGGCTACTAATATCTCGATTGATGGGATATGATTCATACTTATGACTTAATGTTCAGCCCTTGGGCTACTTAACGAAAGAACCACAGCTTCATGCACATTCACAAAATGATGCGTATATATATTATAGCCTCTGTTCCACTAGCTTGAATGGATGGACGCTTACTATTAAGAGTTTAATGTGAATAATAGTCTATACCAGTTAGGAAGAGAACATAATTCGTAAGTAAAAAGATATCCGCTTAAAACAAACGGTACTTTGGTAAAACGAAATCATAGTATAAATTAACACATTATTTCTTCTACATGGATTTTATTACTTGAATTAATCTTTCTTATAAAAATGATTCCCTAGTTTTCATTTTTATCTGGAGTTTTAGAAAAAAAAGGTATTCACAGGAAATTATGACTAAGCCATTTCAAAAATTGTCATTCATAAATAATAATAAATAAATAATATAAATAGAATTACAAATTTTGTGTCAACTTACGGTACGAAGTGTCTTTGATATGGCTGGCCAACTAGAACCAAGTGCTAAGCCGATCAATCCATAGGATACTAACCAAACTATTTGATGAGATGAGACTAAAGAAACATGACAGAATTTGTTTCTACTTTTTATAAATTTAATTATATATTCGTTAAATAAGTTGATGTGATGTAATACAATAAAAAAGGAATTTTCCATAGTTTCCGTTTATTTACTTATAAATAATAAACTTTAAAACGACGGGAGATCAAAAAGTTTGTTTCAATAAGTACAAGTCAAGCGAGAAAAATATTTACTTACCTGATAGAAGAAACAGTGAACCGGAGGCTGAAATCAGAGAGTAAACAAAAATTCGAAGTGGATTTAAGTGATCCATAAGAATCCCACCAATTAATTTGGTAACTGTATAACCCAATGTTTGAGCAGTAATTATGGAACCTGGAATAAGATTAAGGAAGTAATATACAACTTATTTCAGAGGTACTGTACAAAATGTTGATACCATTCGAACTGATCAGATACTGGGTGTTTATAGCAATTTTTAAACGAAAAAGAGCACAAAGTTTTAACATTTAGTAATAATTATCTTATCCTACAAACACTAAATCATTTCCAAAAGGCTGATAAGCGTAAACACAGCTACATGTGCATTCAGTCACTCAGCTACAAGGTAGGACCAGGCACATATATGCACCGGTCCAAGTTGCCATACCGCATTAGCACAGCAAGATGAACAGAGGATTCATAGTAGTTAGGTCAATGGTGGTGATATATAAAAGAAAGATTGTATATAAGAATATAGTACAGGAAGAAAGAATTAGTTCGTAGAAAGAGAGATATGAAGCGATTTTAATCTCTTACTTTAAGGGAAGATAGTGTATACACCTACTTCATAGTGATCGGTTCTGAACCATGTCACTCAGTTTCCAACCATTGGCCACGATAGTCGCGCGGACCTCAACCAAATAGTCTGCATCTACCAACATGGCTCAGACCAGAAGTTAATGACTTCAAGCACTGATGCATTATTTATGAATGTATGAACGACAGCTCTAAATAAAAGTTAAAAGAGACTAACAAGAGATTTAATGGAACTGTGATGGATTACAATCACTTTATAATAAAAACGACGCTACAGAATAACACAAAACACGTGACCCATAATTTGCAAGCTAGAAGTTAAGTGGTTACACAACTTAACCAAAACTTTACCTACGCAGTATCAAGAATAATTTACGACATGACTTACCTAAATGAGTATTTGATTTAGTTCCTTTATATTCTACTGGAATTATAGGATATATATTCTGTATGGCTCTCCGAGCTAGCGAAGTGAAGAAGTAACTCCAAAACAATAAGATCAATAACCCAAGCGGTCTTTTAACAGTTGCATTCATGATGCTATAAAACGAATACAATTATTAAACAAAAAAACGGGAAAAATGAATGGGATATTTTGATTATCCACCTGAGCTACGAACTGGCGAGTCTCGCCGACTTGGCGAGACTCTAATTTAGGGACGAGCCAGTCAGAAGCGTTTGAGCAATTTCAATTATTAGTCGATCAGAAGACAGCATAAAGTAAAAATATATTAAAATAAAGTAATAAATTACAGTGGATATTATTCTTTGATATGATTTAAAAACTCGTATTTTAGCATCCTAACCCTAACCCTAAACCTTAACCCTCAACTAACTCTCACCTAACCCTAAACCTTAACCCTCACCTAACCCTAACCCTAAACCCTCACCTAACCCTAACCTTACCCGTAAAACTAACCCTAACCCAACGGACGAGTTTCTATTTCATATGCATTGTGAATTCAGAACCTCTGAACCTTAATCAAACCTTAACAAGTTTTTAAATCATGTAAAAGGAGAATATCCACTGTAATTCATTACTTTCATATAATATATTTTCACTTTGTACTAACTTTCTTCTGATTGGCTAATAATAGTCAAGGTAACTTAAGATTCGTTCAGGGGTCGTCCTTGAATTAGAATCTTCAGTCTTCAGTAATAAGGATAGGAGGTCTGTCGACCTATATTAATCCTTGCCGTTTGTAATACTGTGGAGGTCCAATCTCGTTTTGAATATATTAACAGACGGTGCTGATATTACGTGTTCCGGTAGAGAATTCCAGTAATTCACTACTCGGTGCGAGAAACGGAACTCCAGACGTAAACGGTTTGATCTCAGTTTTCGAACTTTCTTCGAATGTCCTCTCAAATGATCGGTTCTAGACGGAAGCAAAAGATAAGACATGTTAGTACCAAGGTCATCGTTCAGTATACGATAAGCCAATATTAGATCACCCCGTACTCTACGGTAAGATAACGGAAATAAGTTAAGGTGTCTCAGTCTGTCTTCATAAGATAGGCCAGATAGACCCTGTACCATCTTAGTAGCTCGTCGTTGGACTCTTTCTAGCATATCTGCTTCATATTTGAAACAAGGACTCGCTGCTTGAATCCCGTATTCTAAATGTGGTCGCACATAAATCGGATATAGTAATAAAAACATTTCATCATCTAAATACTGAAAAGACCTACGAATTGACCATAATACCCTATAGCCTTTTGCAGCAGCAGCCTTACAGTGACTAGTCGTTTTGAGATCATTGCTTAATATAACTCCTAAGTCTTTGTAGTTTCTTGCTTTGGGTAGCACGAATCCACGTAGTGTGTAGTCATACGATTCATCAGAGTTATTTAACTGCATCACTACACTCTTATTAGGATTTACTTCTAGTGACCACCTGTCTAACCATGCCACCAATGAGCTAAGATCGTCCTGTAATACTATTCTATCCGACATACTATGTATGGATCTCCAAATCTTTATGTCATCAGCGAAGAGCAGAACGGATGATTTTGCTACAGTTGGCAATCCATTTACATAAAGTAAAAAGAGAAGAGGACCTAGGATTGTGCCTTGGGGAACCCCACTTTTTACAGGTACCCACGAGGAGAGAGCCCCATTAACCCTTACCCTTTGTCTCCTGTCATGAAGAAAGTTACTTATCCAATCGACGACTGTGTTATGGATTCCAAAACGTTTCAGTTTGAATTTAAGACCAGAGTGGGAAACCTTATCAAAGGCTTTACTTGGATCTATGAAAATTACATCCACAGGAGCATTCCGATCCTTTGCCGCAGCCCACTCTTCTCGTGCAATGAGAAGATTTGTCAAGCAAGATAGGCCTTTCCGAAAACCATGTTGTGCCCTGGAGAAAAGATTTTGCCCTTCAACATAGTTTATAACAGATATCCGAATGATTTTCTCCATCAGTTTCACAACTGCACTAGTTAAGCTAACGGGTCTATAGTTACTAACTGAATCCCTACTCCCAGCCTTATACACCGGACTTATTATGGCGCCTTTCCAGTCTCTAGGAAGTCTGGACTGTCTCAGAGACATGTCGAATAGTTCGCTAATGGTTCAGCAATTTCATCTGATATGGCTTTCATAATCCTAGGATGAATGTCATCAGGACCACTGAACTTATCAGGTTTGCGATGCTGAAGTAGCCTTAAAATAGTACCTTTCTCAATGACTACAGGATCCATCAGCGAGCCGTCACGGTCGCGATGAATCATTGGTCGTTCCTCATTACCGATAGAAAACACTTTACTAAAATATTCCGATAAAGCTTCAGCTTTTTCGGCATCATTCTCTGCTAAGATTAACGGATTGTCTCGTATCAAAAGTGATGGAATTCCATCGCTTCTCTTAGTTCGCCTTTTTATATACGAGAATAACCGTTTCGGACTATATCTACAATCCCTAACTGATCGGTTTTCATATGTCGTCTAGTCTTACTTATTAACGCTTTGCAGGCATTCCTAATCTTACAATGGGTGGATCTGTATTGTTCTAAGCTAGTAGAGATGAACATATTCCAGTGCTTTTTCTTTCTTTTGAGAAGTTTCCTGACTAGTTTAGTTATACATGGTGGACTGTTATTCGGTCTACGCAGTACCAGGTGTAGTATGAACGAGGATGATATTGAACTAACCTTACCTTTAAATACAGACCATGCTTCTTCAACTGATAAGCTAGTATCCACAAACTTATGTCTTATCAACGCACTCTTGAATGGCTAATATATTGGCTCTCCATACATTTGGGTGGGGTGTAACCTGATCGTATATCATGTCCCTAGTTCTAAACGTGAATGGCAAAACAGAGTGATCGCTGTTCACCAACGGTGGAAGAATATTTAGGTCAACAATATCCTCAGTATCATGAGTGATTATCAAGTCCAACAGAGAACCTTGGTTAGCACCAAAACGTGTGGATTTGGATACATGCTCCGTTACTGTTATCAGGAACCTACTATCAAAGACGTTTATAGATACTTCCATGGTCATCTCAGTCCAACTAATATCATGTGCATTAAAGTCCCCTATTATCAAGCATATGTTATTTGCACTTCAAAGATGAATGTACGCTAAAATAAAGTCGTCAGCTAAGCAGATTGGGCTGCTATAGATGACACAGAGTATAAATGTACCATGTCCGGTAGCCTATTCACAGCTAATGACTTCACAAGTACCGCCATCATGGGATTCGCTAGTAGAGGAGCGGATATTTATGCCATTGGCTATATATAACAGGACGCCGCCTCCTTTCCTACATCTATGTCTATCACTCCTGATGCAATGGTATCCGGATAATTCTGGAGTAATGTCTAAGTCATGGACTAACCAAGTTTCTGTCACTGCTACTATGAGTGGCTTTAACCTGTCTACTAGTGCTTCTAGTTCATAGAACTTATTTCGTAAACTACGAGCGTTGGCATATAAAACTCCTAAGTAGAACAGCCTATCCACACAGGCCTTGGTAGCATTCGCTCCCAAGACCTGACTATCCGAAAACCCACTAGCCGGAGATTTTCCTCGCCGTTTTGCCGACGGGTTTCAAGTTCAGCCAGTGCTTTCTTCCTTTTTATTCTATCTTCGAGAGACATGTCAGGTCTAACTCGGATGTCAGAACTGTCATGACAACGAGCGCTACTTAACAAGAGATCCCGTTGCTTCTCCGATCCTAGGATTACCTTAAGGAGTCTGCATGGACGGGGTTCAACATTGTCCTCGGTCCTCTTGCCTATTCTTACCAATTTTTTGACCTGAACTCCTTTGGACTTATCTGGTAAAATACTACGAATGTATTCTCCTAGCTTTTCTAAGTCATGTGCGTGTCCAATTTTCGGATCAGGGTCGTTTGACTCCCGCAATTTGCTCACAATAATATTCGATGTTATTAGATTTTTTTCTCAGTCACGCCAGGATGGGTTTCACTCTTACCATCAGATCTTGGTAGTGCAATTTGTGGCTCACAATTTGAGTCCACCAGTGAGTTACTAACTACCTGTGTACTGCTTACAGCTTTTTTCTTTTCGTTTCGTTTCCTACGTACCGTTGTCCATTTTTCATCCCTCATAACACTGGGACTATTTGGAACGGTGACTGTTTTATCCAGATCTTCGGTTCCCATTAAAGGTGTATAATTAACAATGTCAGTACCAGGTGGTACTACTCCCCCCTGTTAATGTCAACGAAGATTTCACTTTTACGTCGGTCAGAGTCGGATGTTTGAGGCGTCGCGTAACAGCAGGTACTACACTGACACATTCGTCACTGTCAGTGCCTGTGTTGTCAGCGCATATGCCATCCTTCTTTTTACAGGCCAAAGCCAATAGGCTCATAGCCTCCTGTATTAGTAATGCCTTGTTGGCACAGCAAAACATGCAAAGCCAATGTGAGTTAGGCTTCGAACTTCTTTTGTATGTGGTGGGACTTAAGCGGGTGCACATTTTGTGGAACCACTTATGGCATTCGTACACTGCATTCCCTCCTCCACAGGGAACAAACAGTTTGATTGTCCACATTTGTGAGTACTACCAACCATTTTAGTCTGATCAAGGTGTAACACACAATATGATCACAGTATGAACACAAATGTCAGTCAACGAATAAAAGGTTACCACAAGAAAAACTTTAGCAAGATTTCAAACCTTAATGAAAGTACTTTGACACAGACCAAGAATGCTTCGAACGTAATAAATACACAAAAGCCAAAAAACTCAACAGAATATCACTTTAACTGTATTAGATTCAATTAAAGTGTAAATCGTAGTTTTGATACGTAATTTACGATCAAAACAATTTACTAATTCAACGAGAAACAATACCACTGTCCTTTTTAGATAGTCTCGCCGACTTATGAGTGTTTTTTTTATCTTAATGTTGCGAAAACTTCAAATATATGGAATTATTTAGTATATTCCTTAGGATACTTTATAAAACCCTAAATAACTTTATAGATGACTACTTCCCGAACTACCGATTTTGGGGAAGTCCTCAACGTTCGAAGAAATTTCGGGGTTTTTGTGCAATTTCCCCAAAATTTGCCAAATTTCCCCCAAAATTGGGAGCCTGGGTAATAGTACTAAAAATCTTAAACGACTTTGCTGAGAAACGACGAAATACTATTGAGACAATGATGAGAGGAATTCAAACAAAAAACGTGATTTACTTTAGTATCCAGGATGTTTATTATTCGGTGAATCAGTGAGTGAATTTCGAAAGTACTTGGGAAAGAAAATGGAACAGAGACTCACTGATTTGTTCTATATACAAACTGGATTAAGAGTAAAATTTTCCTAAATCTTTCCATCTATACTCAGGTCTTGAGTCTTACTACGTTCTTTCCTATAAACAACGATAATAGCTTCGATCCACATCTAGAAGGACGGATTTGAAAAGGCCAGTCATGATAGTTGCTTAACCTCTTTGCTGCATGGATTTTAGGTGCAAGTTTCAAAAATAGGAGGTGAACTCTATCGAACTGGAAAAGTGTTCTTAACCCAAGCAACACAAAAAGGGGAAATAAAGGCACACATTTTAAAATGTGTCCCGTGCTCTTCACTTCGATAACCCTAGAACCATGAGAACAGCAGAATTATTTCGGACTTCTCTTATTGGTTCTTATTGAAGAAACAATCTTTCATGGTGTAGATAGTCAGTAAATTTCTATCAGCAATACACCTATAATAAAACTGGAGTTCATTCAGTTATCAACTTTTTCCTTTACTCCCAGTATTTTCGAAATATTATTTCTATTAACACTTTCACCAATTTAAGGGTTTCGCCGAAAGCTACTTAATCTGGAATGAAAAGTAACGCATTCAGATGTAACATTTGCAGAGGGTGATCCCAAGTCCTAAACAGAAAAGAACAAGTGGGTAACGCAAAATACTCTCAGTTATCCTTAAATTGTAATTTTACTACAATCGATATTCAAAAAAAGCTTATAACAAAACATATGCATGTCTCCTACTACCATCATTGAGTAAACTATTCCCAGATACAGTTTCAGGAGTCAGTATTTGTAAGCTTTATAGAATAGGAAAAAAGGTGGATTCCGAAAGTCCTTCGAAAAGCCGCCTCCTGAAGGTTACATTCAACACGGTGGAAGAAAGGAACCTGATTCTAAGTAATTCACGTAAACTGATAGGATCCGGAATATATGTCCGTGAGGATCTCAGTCTAGCTGATCGTATTAAGAGATGAGCTGCAGAGGCGGAAATAAATGAATGTCGCCAAAACGGGGAACGAAACCTTGTTCTTAAGGGTTTTCAAGTTGTAAAAGTTCAGAGCAAAACAATCCCCAAGCCACTCTGAGTGGCAAGGGAAAGCTCTCCACAGACTTAAAGGTATGCTACACAAATGCTCGCGGCCTACTAAATAAAATGGTGGAGCTCAAGTCAGTGGTGGATAAAGAAAAACCGGACGTTATTGCTGTCTCGGACACTTGGTTAACGTCAGAACTATTAGATAGTGAAATCCAGTTGACTGGTTTCATAACCAGTAGTGCTGATAGATTAAACCGTAGGTGAGGCGGGGTTATTCTGTACACGAAAAGTACCCTAACCATAAGATTAGCTGAGACAGTAACACATATTTCAGGGACGTGTGAACTGGTGAGATGTAAGTTGAAATGCCGACTGCAAGATATTGAATTAGTTGTAGTATATCGCAGTCCAGAATGTGTGGCAGATGATTTTATCCTAAGTAAACTTAAGTCCTGGTGTAACAACGGTAAAAGTCTTGTAGTAGGCGACTCAAATGCAACACATATGAACTGGGTTAACTTAGAAGTAGGGTCATCCATATCGTCGTTCGACTGCAAACTGTTAGAAACCTCGATTGGATTAGCATTATTCCAACACATTAGAGATCCCACAAGATACGGCTTAAGAAACTCTTCCTCTCTTTTAGATTTAGTCTTCACACACGGTGATGACGTTGGTCAAATGGCTTTTCACCCACCACTTGGGAGAAGTGACCATGCAGTCATCTTATCCAAATTCATGGCTGAGATTGCCTGCCAAACAGTTGCGCCGGCCCGTCCCAACATATGGAAGGCAGATGTGCAGGCAATTAACTCCACAGCATCGGCTGAAAACTGGGAACTTGACTCAAAGGCATCAGTACAAGAGGCATAGACTCTATTCAGGCAGTTATACCATCGAGTAACTCAACCATACATACCCTGAACTGTCCCGAAGAAAAAGAAGCACGGACATCCCTGGATAGGGCGGGATATTTGACGTTTCCTAAGACAAAAGAAGAAATGCTGGGGCGTTGCTATCCGCCTTGGCACAGCAGGTACGATGGAACGCTACAGATCGATAAGAAACGAGTGTATAACGAAAATTCGGGAAGCTCAAAGAAAATATGAAATGCAGCTGGCACAATCTGCACTCAAACAGCCCAAGAGAATATTCTCCTACATAAACTACAGAACAAGGATGCATCACTGGATTCCCAAACTAATTAAAGTAGGAAGTGAATCTGAAATGACAGATGAAGATCAAGAAAAAGCAGAGGCTATGGCTGACTATTTTGGGGCAGTTTTCACTCAGGAACCTCCTCTAGAGAAAGAACCAGACCCAAATATAGAGTCAACAAACCAGCTGCTCACCATGGACTTCGACCAAAATGATCTGCTTAAGGCTCTTAGCACCCTAAACATGGAGAAGTCAACAGGACCAGATGAACTACATCCCCAAATCTTGAGACATATTGCCCAATATATCGCAGCCCCACTGACTGTGATATTCAAAATGTCACTTGACCAAGGTGTGTTACCTATGGACTGGAAGGACGCAATCGTCACTCCCATACATAAAACAGGTCCACGACAAGTTCCATCCAAATTCAGACCCGTAAGCCTCACCAGTGTTGTAATTAAAATACTGGAAAGAATAACCAAACGGACCATAACAGCATTTATGGAAACCAATAACTTGCCGAACATGGCACAACATGGTTTTAGAAAGGGCCTAACCTGGACAACGAACGTCCTTGTAGCAAGGGAGTTCTGGATTAATGCGCTAGACAGCAGAAACTCAGTGGATGTTGTCTACATAGATTTCTGTAAGGCTTTTGACAAGGTGCCAACTAATAGACTGCTAGTGAAGTTGGAACACCTAGGTATTGCCGGACCTCTTTCAAAATGGATTAAGGATTTCCTAGTAGGTCGTAGGCAGAAAGTAAGAATAAATTACAAGTGCTCTATTTAGAGACCAGTACTTAGTGGGGTACCCCAAGGTTCCGTCCTAGGTCCTTTACTTGTTATAATGTATGTTAATGATCTTCCAAGTATAGTACAGTCTCCAATGTTATTATACGCCGACGATGTAAAGATCTGGCGAGTAATAACTGATGACACAAACGCATGTGTTCTTCAGGCAGACTTAAATGATATGATAAACTGGTCTAAAGAGTGGTTGATGCCTATCAACGCGGCAAAGTGTGTCTACATGCACTTTGGGATTCAAAGGTTAATAGTTACAACATAGGGGATGTGTCATTACCCGCAGTCCGGTCTCAAAAAAGGATATAGGGGTGACAGTGAGTAATGATCTTAAGACGGCGGCCCATTGCCTGGAGGTCGCAGCTAAGGGGTTTCGAACCCTCTGGGTTTTAAAAAAGACATTCACTAAGTTAGATACTATCATGTTCACCACAGTATACACATCCTTAGTGAGAACTAAGCTAGAGAACTGCGCTCAGGCTGCAAGCCCCTGTTTAAAAGGTGACTCGGACATACTAGAAAAAGTACAGAGGGCAGCTACCCGTGCAATTCCGGAACTCCGGGTTCATCATAAAAAGAGAGGCTTGAAAAACTGAACCTCTTTACTCTGCCCTATCGCAGACTAAGGGGAGATCTAATTTTGATGTACAGAATACTGAGAAATGATTTCGGACCTAACTTATTCTCTCTCTTTCTTCCCATTAGATCGGGACACCTTAGAGGACATAGCAGGCGAGTAGAAAAGCCAAGAACGAACAAAATACCCGTGGCATACAGGTTTTCACACCGAGTCATCAATACTTGGAACCTGCTGTCTGAAGCAGTGGTGTCCGCACCTTCAATTGACTCTTTCAAGAGAAGACTGGACACTCACAGAAGCATATAGAAAGGAAATAACAGGCCGTAGGCCTTCTGTCCTTACTACACAAATCTGAATCGTACCAATGTTTTCATCCATTTGTAGTCCTTTTATTGGGTTTTTCACGCGGATCTGTATTTGGGATTTCAAACCACTCAAGGAGCTATTCGACATGTGACCTCCCCAAAACTAACACCGTAGTGGTTGGAAGGATTTTATCGTTAGCCTTCTACATAGGCATGGAAGGGGAAATCATGTCCATCTACGGACCTAAAAGCTCAACTAGCTTAACAGATAAGAAGCCACACCATCTATTAACTTTTGAGCAACAACTCAATAACTGCAGAAGTGGATTGGTAGGAACCAAAGATAGCGATTCGCCTGTTGTTTTGATAGTTATAGATTATGACAAAGCATACAGAAACTCTCCAGTTTTGGAATGAGATAAAGTATAAAGGTGAACAAGAAACCCATCTGAGGACAAATGCGGGGAGTAAGGTTAAGTAAGACGCTATAGCGTCCGGATATATCCGGAATGAAACGGGCCAAAAGTTGTGTCCTCGAAAGTATTAATTCATGTTCTTCATTTCCCCTTACTGACGTTAAGAAATCACCAAAACTACCTCAGTCGACAAAATTTACTTGCGGATGACAGTCTGGAGAACAATACGTCCCAAGCTGCCAGCTTTGGGGAAATTTGGGGAAATCCCCAAAATGTTCGTAGCGCATTTTTGCACACTAACATTTCATCTACATAATATAAATAAGCCTCAAAGTAGTAAACTTGAATAAATAAATTCATATTTTAATGCAATACTGACTTTTGATGAGGGATAGTCTATCGAATTTCAGGTCTTGTTTTAACAAACAGTCAGTAAGCAAAGAGTTGTCCGTTGTAAACCACTTTTTCAAAATTCGAAAGCTTTGCAGTTGAGTTGTTAGCAGTGCAGGTCGGAAAATTTGGTTGCTGTCTATGTTCAGTCTTACTTAAGTGAACTATTTCTTTCAGAATAATAATAGACAGGTCGATAAGATTGCGAAAAGGCGGGCAGAAGCCGCGAAATACCTGAGGTTGCTTGACTGTTGCCGAGCAACCTATTACAGAAGGTTGAGGAAATTAAAAGTAGAGTTTATAAAGAAGTGTCAGTTACCGAACAGTAACGAAGAGACAGACAATTCACTTGTCGTCACAGAATCACAGACTACCGCAGCTACAGAGGAGTGTGATAATATTATCTCAGATACAGCTACTGATTCATGTAGTTACGTCCAGTGTTCAGACAACACAACCAGAGGTAGTATCTCTTTAATTATTAAAAATTTATAGGTTGTGTCATGTGAGAAATGTCTCCAGCCGTTCATCTTTCGACGAAAGATGAGCCTGAGGTAACTGATGATTCTCTCAAGCAAATCGTCAGTTACAGGAACTCGAAGCTATCTATCAAAGTAGGAAGTACATTTTGGTGGATGACAAGAAGATGCAAGTGGTCTGCATTCCCAGAAAATGGCTGGTGAACAAGGATCATTAGGTTTATCACGATCATGTTAGTGAGCATGAAAATGTTCAGGTTGTTAATGTCGATAGTCGATTCACGCTGCGAAAATACACCGTTATGCATGGTTGTGGTAAGTTGTAATCAGTTAACATTTATTGTTTTCAGACGACTACAATGTAGCCCAGGAATTAAAAGTGTGTTTAACAATAGTACTGGGCTACAATACAAGCATCACGACTAACGATGAAACGCAGTCTTGTCACGCTGACAAACCGAAAAGTTAAATTGTTGAACTTATTATATCACTTGTGTTAGGACTGTCAAACGAAAAAATACTGATTATTTATGCACCTCAGAAGAACTAGAGGTTGCTGAGGTTGAGGCTGGATTTGCCCCGATGGAACTTCCAGTTGTCAACATTTTGACAGGAAACTTTTCTCCGATTGCGGGGTTTGTACCTACTTTATCTATACCCATATAGTAGTTCATCAAAAGCTGACGTATCATCA